TAATTGACTATTTTATTTTCTTTAACACATTCTGATTGTTTTTCTACATTACCCCATTTCACTATCTTCCTCAAATATAAAATTGTCAGTTCTTGTGTTTGCATAATCATCCATCTCTAACTCCATCAACAACTTGGTAGATTAGTCCTACAAATCACACTCCTTACCATGTTCCTTAGAGGTCTTTTTCTTCTCTCAGCCACTTCGTTTGGCTTGGGATTTCGAAGTGTAGGGTATTGAGCTATTTCGAAGTGTAGGGTATTGAGCTACCATTCCATTTTCTTGTAGAAAAAATGGCAAAAGGACTAAGGTGTCTACCAGTTTGTGTGTATCTACCATGGTATTCACTATTCACCTCCCTTATCAACCTAACCACTTTAATGTTCTTTTCCAATTGTTTTTCAACCTCACTTTTGTAAATCTTAAAAGTTTCAAGTGCATTTGATTTTTCTGAAATTAGGTTACGAAATATTTATGTTCCTCTGTAGTTTGCATGGGAAAAAGACCACAAAAGTACGTGTGGACGATTTATGAAGTTTCTTTGCTTCTTGTTGAGACTTTGTTTCTACTACTTGTCATTTTTCCTTTAGCATAATCCACACAGAACTCAAAACCATTAAAAATTTAATGGAGGCAAAATATTATTTTTGACAAGTAACTCTATCCTTTGTTTTGAAATATGACGGCCTCCTTTGCTTTAAGTTTGATGATTGTTGAGTCTTAGTATGTTCATTTTGAATGTTAAAAATAATTTCGACTTTGTTGAGTTTTGATATGAAACATGCCATCATAAAAATAAAATAAAAATTAGTACCAACTTGAGAAGATGTGTAAAATATGTTGAAGCCAATATTATTTATAGTAAAATAAAAACTCAACAAAACTAACTTTGAAACGGAATTAGCTTCCTTCTCATGGAAGGCACATACACAATGTTTTCTAATTCTAAATAAAAATCCATCTTTAGCCTAACACTTCCTAAAGCTTTGACTTAAACTCTTCTTCCATTGCCAACTGAAACTTTGACTTCATCCTTATTTGGTGTTCTCCTTGTTATGAAGTTCTGCAATGAATTCGTAACATGAATAGAAAAGCTAGAGTCAAGCCACCATTCAGTGCTAGGTATATCAATTAAATTAGAATCAAAACAAGCAAAAATGTTTTTACCTTTCTTCATGTGGCAAGCCAAGCCTTATACAAAAATGAGGTTTGAGAATCGATGGCTTGTTAGGTTTGGTGTTTCTTTTAGGAGAGGGAACCCTTTTGGTAGAATTCTTTCTAGTAGCATCGGTGGTTTAGGGTATATGTGCCTTGGTGGTACTTTGCACATAGTTCAAAGACTCAATCTTCTCCTTTTCAGGCTTTTTCATCCTTTCCTCTTCACTCACACATATTGAAATTAACTCATTCACATCCCACTTTTCACGCAATGCATTGTAGGACAATTTGAGATGTGTATAACTCTCAGGCAGAGAATTCAATGTCACATGTACCAAGAAAGTTTGAGAGATTAGTACGATCTCAAGAACTTGCTTCCATTTCTTGTAGTTGACACCAGTGAGTGGTTCAACTGTATTAAGGTGCATGGAGCTTGGATTCATAACTGTCAAAGGATATTAATCTTTAAATCCCAAGACTAAAAATCACCTTTTCAACATCTTAGGATTGATGAACATGTGAAGACTTTCTTTAATCATATCACCTTTATAACCAACATTCGAAATTTTGTAATCAAAATTATAAACCTTTGTGGTTTGACAATAGTAATTCGATTCAAACATTCGTACATAAAGTGATATACTACTTAAATTCTAAGCATGAAAGAATGATCTTCTTTAGATGACCAGTGATCATGACTTGAAATTAAGCACCATCACTGATATTTATATCTGAATGAAAATATATGTCTTTATGGTCAAGGATAGCTTTAGCCATCACTTGATCGTGTTCATATATATTTCCCTAATGATACACTACCAGTTCTGTAACCTGCGAGACAAGGAATATTTTCTTGATGCCAATACGTGAAGGGCTCTGATACCAAATATAAGTTAATTGTGCAAGGGAAAAACTTATTCACAGTTATCAACTTAATCGCTTACCCATGGAAGACATCTTCTCAGAGAACTAGGATTAAAAATTGATGTTCTTTTGCAACACTACACAACTGAAAGCAAGGCTCGCTCGATGGGGCTTGAGTTTACTGTAAACTTGCTTGTTTAGTGAGAGAACAGGGACCTCAGTTTTATACTTCATACGATGGAATTCAATAAGGATCCCTCCCATTAAGTGGTCCTTATCAAAGACTAGCCTTATCACCGTGAAACACTTATGCATTATATCAGCTAGAAGAGTCCTAGTTTTATCGAGAACGTATCTGAAACTTCAAGTAATACAACTCCTGACAAGTCTACCACAAGTGTCAATCCTAATCTCCTTATCATTCCAAATGTCTTTAATCAAATCACCAAGTGTTTGCTCTCATATAGAACTTACATGAACCTTACCTGAGTTCGAGAATGGAGCTTGAGGCTCACGGCTTCAATGGACCTGCACCTCATGGTGTTCCGATGATGCATGCAAGAACATAACTAGTTTCCCCAAGTCCTATAGGTTTTGAATATCAAGATTTGGGGTTAAATTTGTGAAGGAACGAGTGGTGGTGGCTAGTTTTGATGGAGCTACAGAGAGAGAGAGCTTCGAGAGTTAGAGAAATGGAGCGTGAGGGTGCAGGAATGAAGGAGGAACCGGAGTGGGGTATAATCCCACTTAAAATTGTTTTAAGTGAAATTACAATTTTGCCCTCTCACGTACTTCGGAACAGAACGTAACTTCCATAACTTTGAAATCGATTTCGTTATCGTCCATACTCGTGAGTCCAAAAACAATTTAAGGACACGAAGCAAGCACAATAAATTAAAATTTGAGTCGAGACTCGATAATTACTCAAGACACCCAACTAAGAGTATTTTGGTCATTTTATATGAATTTAAGAATAAAATACACTATTTTAAGGTATAGGTTGTAATAGCTAGGATGAAAATAACTTTATGTATTAAAGTTTGACAATCACAATACTTGAGGGCAGTATAGTGAGAATTACCCTTTAAAGAATGTTAGTTTTTGGCGCGTATATATTGTTAGATGTTGTTGGGTCTCATAGGTTTTCAAAAGCTTTGTTTAATTTATAAAGCAGCATCCAAGCTTTTTATAGCTCCTTTTTTTCGATGTTGGACCTTAATTTAGGATCCTACTTTCATGGACGACGTCGTGCTTGCATGTTGTCAGTCTTTGCGATTCGTTCATGCACATGCATTTTTGTGTAAAATACACATCGCCTTTTTCTCTTTGAGCTAAACAAATTGAAGGTATATGCACGAAAAGGGCAACTTTTTGTTGGCATTTCTTTACACTTTAGTGCGGATTTGTGAAAAGTCCGGCGCCACCCCATTTGACTTGGTGAATTCATTTTTTTTTTAATGTCTTAATTGGATTAATGGTCTTGTTGTAATAGAGTAGTTGGAAAATAACCCCTGTAGTAAAAAAAAAAAGAAGGAAAAAAAAAAGGATTTAAGCCCTATAATGAAGTCTGTTAGGATTTAGGTCAAAATTGAAAATTTCGCCAACACTCTGTTAATTGTTAGCACATGAGGCTCACACGTAAGACTAGATAGATAAAATTAGCCTCATATTTAAGCCTCATATGCTAACAATTAACAGAAAGATCTGTTTTAGCCTAATGCGTGTGACTCACGTGCTAATAATTAATGGAGAGTTGACGAAATTTTTAATTTTGGATATAAATCCTAACAAACTTCACCACAAAGGCTTAAAACCTAGTTTTTTTTTTTTTTTTTCTTTTTTAACTACATGAGTTATCTTCCAACTACCCTATTACCACAAGGACTAATAATTCAATTAGATCTTTTTTATAAATAAAAAAATACAAGTGAAAAGAGAAAGTGGAACGTGATCACAAGATCTCACGTAATAAGAAATTTTGAGTTCGAATCTTGAACCACTTCAACAATACGACAACAGATATAAAAACTCACGCTTGCCGTATACGCTTTAGTTTCAAGCACCCCGCACTTCTTTTTTGGTCCCACTCTCCTTGCTTGGCCGTAGTTTGACCGTCACAAAATTTTTACATAACAAAAACAAGAGGCATGGCGGCTAGAGTGACGTGGAGTAGTTAAGGACATTTATCTTGTACTTAATATTATGTCGATTGCGTGTTTACAAGAGTACTAAGAACATCTAGGGCATATTTACTAATCCGTAATCAAATTCAGAGGAATTGAATTGAGAAAAAATTGAAATGGGATGTAATCAGAATTGGATTCCTGTTGAAGTTGTTTACTAAAACTGTCTGGAATCGGAGTGGGAATGATGTTAAGTCCATATAAGTTGTTTACTAATTCACTTCAATCGGAATGAAAGCTCGGTTGATTACTAAATTGCCCTTACATAAATAAATTATTTTCATACTAATTACTTGAATTAAATTTATATAATAAAATTCATCTATATAAAAATGTATAAATAGGTTTTATTTATTTATTAAAAGATGGCATAATGAGTGTCAAATGAAGGGCAATGCTGGGATAATAAAAAACAAGTGAGGGCACAATTGATAAATAAAATCCGTTCCGGATTCCTCAAGTCACAAGGAATTGAAATACCTCTTTTATGTAGGGAGTCCAATTCCTCCAAAATTAGGAGTTGGATTCCTTAATGCGTGTGGACCCCACATGTATTTTGATTCCCCAAGATTACGTAAACAAAGGTGTATGTCGTAATCGGAATTCAATTCCATAAATTGATTCCGATTACGGATACATAAACATGCCACTAGTCACTATGGGTAGGAACGTAATTTAAAAAAAAAGAGGGGCAAATTCGGGCACTAAACCAAATATCAAAGATTTCTGACTTTTGCCGGCTTCGTCGTGGTTGGCGGTTTCTCCTCGCCTCGCTATATATAAATACGTTCAACTCAAAAAATGGAAACCAAAAAAAAAATACAAATTTGGAAAAAAGAAAGAAAGAAAGAAGGCGTAGAGTCATTTATTTCGATTCAGATCCAAAATAGCAGTGGGTAGAAAACGAAAACGAATCGAGGGAGCTGAAACAAAATCAATCGAATCAATTTTGAAAATGGCGACGGTGTCCCCTCTGGCCAAATACAAGCTCGTCTTCCTGGGCGATCAGTCCGTCGGCAAAACCAGCATCATCACCCGCTTCATGTACGACAAATTCGACACCACTTATCAGGTCAATTCCCAATTTTCCAATCTGTTCGTCTTCGTCTCGTTGGATCAATCAATTAAACAGTCGAGCCATTTTTTTATTTTTATTTTGGTGTAATGTTTTTTTTAATTTGCTTGCAGGCTACGATTGGAATCGATTTTCTGTCAAAAACGATGTACCTTGAAGATCGGACAGTTCGTTTGCAGCTCTGGTACAGATTCCTTTGTGATATTGGGTTGATTTTGTGATTAAAATTGTGATTTATGGGTTGATAAAATGAATGGTGATTGCAAGCTTCAAAATCATATACATGCCAATTTGTTTGAGGCAATGAGGCTGGTGCGATTGTCTGTGGATTGCAATGTGATTGCGTGCCATCCATACATACGCATACGATACGATACGAATAATTGTCTCTTCGTAGTGTTTTAATTTGTTTGTAAGGATCCTAAAATACGTACAATATAGGGGATGAAATCTCGATTATGACCATGGTTAACATCTTAATTATGCTACATCATTTGGAGCCAAAAAAGTGAATTGAAGTAGGCACGTCTATGTTGACAAGCAAATGTATTATGCTCTTTCATGTTTGTTTCTATGAGTATTTGGTGAAGCAATTGTTAGGGCTTGTTACTGTAACTCAGTTATTGCTTCGTAAGTTCGTGTTTGTTTATATGACGTACATAATATCTTTATTTTTCTGAACCGTGGTATTGTAACTTTACAGGGATACTGCAGGGCAAGAAAGATTTAGGAGTCTGATTCCAAGCTACATCAGGGATTCTTCTGTTGCAGTAATCGTCTATGATGTAGCCAGTGAGTATTGATCAAGACAAGTTGGGTTTTTTAGAATCATATTGTAAATTCATCAGTTTCCTCTTTCAGTCTGAATCTAATTTCACCCGGAAAACTAGAAAGCTCGTTTATCATGACTCAGCCTCTTGGTTGGTAAACACTAAACAATTTTGTTCGGATGGTTGGAAATCAGATACGCAGAAAACCAACTTTCTTTCCTTCTGCTTCTGTTTGTGTGGTTGCACATCCATGTATGTGGGCACTCTCACCTCATTGCACAGCCATTACCACATGGAACATTAAACTTGTTGAATATTGCATCATTTACCCTTACTTTCTGCTCCTCATACAGACATTTTGTTTTCTAAATTCCTGGCTGAACCGTCACATGCAGATAGACAGTCATTTCTGAACACTAATAAGTGGATTGAGGAAGTACGAACAGAACGGGGAACTGATGTCATCATCGTGCTTGTGGGGAACAAGACTGATCTCGTCGATAAAAGGTGAGGGCTAAAAGTATTCCCTTCTCCTTGATTTTGCAAACAGTAATGTTGTACTTTTTCTGATTAATAATTCTATTTCCAGTCCATCTTAAGCACCCGGACATATACATACAACCAAAACGTACAGGGTCAAGATAGGTTTTTCTTCTGCAAGTGAACCATTACCGTCAAAACTTTTAAGACGATATTAAGTCCCGGCCACACTTTGTTGTGTTTATCCAGTCACTTAAACAATACTTAAGTAGTTAATTTATTTTAATAAATTTTCAAAATTGTTCTGACTATATGGTTTTGTTGATCAAACAGGCAAGTCTCGATAGAGGAAGGAGATTCAAAATCTCGCGAGTTTGGAGTCATGTTCATTGAAACTAGTGCAAAAGCAGGATTTAACATCAAGGTAAAGATAAACAAATAAATTTACCGATCATATTTATTTGAGGTATATTTCCCAGTAGGATTTTTCTACTACCTTATTTAGCATGATATCTTCTGATATTAGTGTTCATGGTTTCCATCATTTTTGTTTGACTACTATGATTGCAAAATTGCAGCCTCTATTCCGTAAAATTGCTGCTGCTTTGCCAGGGATGGAAACCCTTTCTTCCACAAAACAGGAAGACATGGTCGATGTAAACCTGAAACCGACTGTTAACTCGTCCCATACAGAGCAGCAAGGAGGAGGTTGCGCATGCTAGGCGATGGCTATTCACTTATTCGAAGGAAAAAAGAGAAATCTATTAGCATGATCAAAATCTAGCCAACATAGTGATTTACAGCAGTGTGAAGTGGCCTAGGTCTTAATGCTTTCTGTTCCATCATGTATCAGGCGGTTTTCTAAGTATTCATAGGAAACTAATGGTAGCATTTCTTGTGTTCTAACCTACTAGTAAATGAGAGCTTGGCTTGTTTGTTATATTTCCTACAACATTTTTTTTTTCCTGCAGTATATATGTGAATTGTGAAATGCTCCCCGTGTGTTTTGGAGCAGAATATCAAGAGATTACAGCAGCAACAAAGCGTTTATCCCACTAAATTAGCATATCGAGAGATTGAGAAAAGGAGATCATCAATAGCTGGATACCAAAACTGTGTCAAATTGCGCTTTCTAAAAAGATACATTGAAAATGAAACCTGTTGTTCTAGTAAATTACTAGAAACATTGCCCGCGCGTTGCTGCGGGATTAGAAACCCTATGAAAAACTCTGTTTCAAAGCTAGAAGGGATTGTCAAAGAAGGTTAATGTTATTTACACTTAATGATGTTTCAACTTTTTGAAAGAATTTTTACATGAAGAGCAGAAATTAGGTGAACGAAGCTCTTAGAATTCTTTGAATCACTTTATGAATAGTATGACCTGTGAGTGATCGATTGTGTAACATAAATTAGTAAGAGAATATAAGAGTGTTATATATGAAAGACACAACAAACACAAATTTATAAGAGACACAAAAGATAAGTGTTATTTTGTGATATATGCACAACTAAAATACTAATGTTAAAATTTATATGATGTCGCCTAAACTAACTAAAATGATTTGTTTATTTTGATAGGGCATTCAAAAATTAGGCATAATTTAGTAGAGTAATTGCTAGAATGGATCAAACACTTTCAGCAACTAAAAGTTTTATACAAAAGCTTTACAACAGCTTAGTTCGAGAATGCAGTATCTCAAACAGATAACTAAAAAGAAAAACATGATTCGAACTTACAAATTCTACATAGGAAACTGTATAACAAAATGTCAAAAAGCTGACCACATTGTTTAACAACTTTTTGCCAAGAAATGTAAAATCATTTGCAACACAGCAGGGAAAATGTTAACTCATACCATATGATACAAAATCATAAAAAATAAAAAAAAAATAAAAAAAAAAAAGCAAGAAAGGGTTATTCTTAAAATACCTAAAAAATATGAGTAGATGGATGTTTATGTAGAAGAGCACACAAAAAATTAAAGATCCGGAACATCAGAACAAGAGTTTGAACAATTTAGATACAAATTTCAACTCTTAGCAGGAGTTTGAGGTTTAGCTAAATAGAAAAATGTGGTCCAAAGAAACTAAAACTGGATCATGGCCGTGTTAATGAGATATCAAGTATCGAACAATTTTGTGGGTGTAGAAAGCCCAGCAGATTGAATTCTCGTTAATAATTCAATGTAAATATGGAGAAAGACCGAGACATTGTTGTGATTGGCTCATATTATGAGTTGGCAACAATTTCATCTCAACCATGTGGAGATTGTTGGAGTTTGTGGCCAAGTGGACTATCCTCCAAAATACCTTTCGGCTAAAGAAAGAAAGTTGGAACATCTTTCCTTGTTTTGGGGAAGAAAATATGGGTTGCTTTTTCTTTTGTCTACCACCCGTGAGTTTTGGCTAAAAGAAAAAGAAAAGTTGCTTTAAGAAAGGGAGCTCATTATTCGGTTTTGAAGGAGAACAAGAGACAAGTGAGAGAGCTCATTTCGGGTGGAGAAGGAGAGAGAGAAGGCGGGGCCTTTTGTTTATATTAAGGCATTTGGTTATGCCTTTGTGATGAGTGTTGAGAGAGCATCCAAGGGGGAGAGCATTCGGCTCTCCCATGGAAAAGGTTGAACATGGGTTGAGAGAAAATCAAGAGAGCTAGAGTGAAAAGTATTCTAGTGAAAGAACTCTTGGGGTAGAGTGAGGCTCTTGGGAAAATTCTGTGAGTGGGTGTACAAGGGATATGGGATTGGGTTATGTCGATTTGACTCATGTGTAACTTGTACTGTTTTTCTCATAGTGAAGAGCAATATCTCTCCGAGGACGTAGGCAGTTTTTTGCCGAACCTCGTAAATTTCTCTGTGTCTTTATTTCTTGTACTTTATTTTGTTCAACTGTGTGTGTTTTTTGGTGAGGTTGTAATCTGAATCTCGGTTTCGCACTAACGAACGGGCCAAGGCACAACAGACATTACTTACAGAAAGTGAATTGAAATGTGCATCAGTTGTGGCGGCAACAAAGGCTAGGGTCAATCAGATAATGAACAACTTCTTCACACTGTAAGCAAAAAAGTGTAAACAACAATGGTTAGGAAATCATTTTTTAACAAGTTGAACAAGGAAAGAGAAGATTACTACATTTCTTGGATTTCATAGTGGGAGTTCGTTTTTTTTCTTCCATAAACATGGCTTTAGAATAAACTGAAGCTCCAATGAACAAAAATTGAAAAGAATTAGAGATTTGTGGTTCTTACTCAAATTTGAGTCTACCCTCAACAAATTTAGTTTGTGCAGCCTTGAATTAGGATCACCAACTTTTATCAATTAATTAATTAAATATTAATAACCATACTTTATTTCCAAGGTGTCTTGTACCAATGTGTCTCCCATATACTTTGATTGTGTGGCAATAATTTTATGCCATAGAAACAATATGGCTGGGAAGGAATAGTTTTATGTGATATAAACAATACATGCAGGGGTTATTCCCAGTTTACAAAAGCCTCTTTTTAATCATTGGAGTGAAAATTTCAGAAACACAACAGTTCAATACCTGCAATTGAAAGAATCAAAGCGTTACAAACTGAAATTCGTTAATTAAAAATGCAAATAAACTCCGCCGCAAAGCACCAAAATTAATTTAACAATCTTATTTAAACTTAGAAAACTTGTACCAAACAGATAAATAAAGGCCTAATTTTCCAACAAAGTAAAACAAATTGATAAAAAGAAGCTAAATAAAATAATAATAATAAAGAACTGAAAATTTTGAAACGGGTTTTATCAAATTTACCTAATTTAGGTGGAACGGTATTATTGCCCATCATACCTTGTATATTTAAATATACTTGTTGTTTAATTTCATTGCAATTTTAGGTGGTGCAGTATAATCGCTCATCCTACTCTGCATATTTAAATTTTCCTGCTACTTGAGTGGTGCAGAATAATCGTCCATCCTATGTTATGAGAATGGTACGGTACAATCGTCATCCTCATTCATTATGTAAATCTCGAACCAGAAGTTTCGCTCATCCTATGTTATGAGAATGGTACGGTACAATCGCCATCCTCATTCATTATGTAAATCTTGAACCAGAAGTTTCGAGTGCTTATCATTTTGGCCTGGAGGTCAAAATGAAGAACTTGTAAAAACCAGAAGTTCTAACACTACAGCCCCCAAATTACATATTATTGCAAGTTCTTACACATCTTAATTTTCTTTCAGAAAAGAAAATGGCGAACTTAGCAAAACTTGATTACCTTACTTGGGTACTGGATACCAAGATCCATCTGGAAGCAGGGAATCTTGGAGATACCATTAAGGAAGAAAACAGCTCATCCTCTCAAGATTGGGGCAAAGGCCATGATCTTTATTCGTCGCCATCTTGATGAGAGACTAAAGAGCGAGTACTTAACTGTTGAAGATCCGTTAGCTCTCTGAAAGGCATTGAGAAACAGATACAATCACCAGACAACGGTGATTCTTCCAAGGGCTTGTTATGAATGGACTTACCTAAAGATCCAGGATTTCAAGCCAGTGGCTGAGTACAATTCTGCGTTGTTTAGAATTACCTTTCAAATGAAGCTCTGTAGGGATACCATTACTGAGGAAGATATGCTGGAAAAGACTGTCAGCACCTTTCATGCTTCCAACGTGCTCCCGCAGCAGCAATATAGAACGAGAGGTTTCACTAAATACAACCAGCTGATATATGTGCTCTTGGTAGTTGAACAAAACAATGAGCTCCTGATGAAAAATCATCAGTCCCGACCTACTGGATCTGCATCATTCCCAGAAGTGAATGTTGCTTCCCTCGAAGAGAGTGCCACATCTTTTGGTGGTAATAATCATAAACGAGGACATGGCCACAGGCGAGGATGGTGGAACGGGAAAGGCAAGAATCATGGTGTCCAGTTTCACAACCAAGTTTCAAGGCATAATTCCGGCCCAAACTTCAAAAATGTAAATCGCCACAAAGGCAGAGCTTATAGGAACAATACTCTTAGAAACTCTGAAGAAGCCTGCCATAGGTGTGGTGGCGATGGGCACTGGGCGCGTATTTGTCATAACCTAAAACATCTGGTGGATCTATATCAAGCCTCCCTCAAGGAGAAGGGTGTCGAGACCAATTTTCTCAATCAGGCTAAACCAATGGATATACTTGATCCAGTGTGTGACTTATCAGGGCAATTGAACACAACCCACCTAGAGGTCTCGGACTTCATGGTGGAAAAGGGAAACAAAGTATACCAGTCTGATTGAATCATTGATGTTTGATGTACTTTTATTATGCTGAACTTGTAATTTAAAAACTAGCGTTTCAGATTCAATAAAAGTGGCATTTAAATTTCCTATTATAAATTGCTTTTAACTATGATTTCCTTACTCATAAAGCATGGATAAAAACTATGGTCATTCTCAAAACATGAGAGATAGCGAAGATATTTGTCTTGCAGACAGCGCAGCCACGCATACAATACTTTGAGATCAAAAGTATTTCTCAAGATTGATGCTTACAAAAGTAAAGGTAACAACAATATCAAGGCAATCAAATGTGATTGAAGGCTCAAGGAAAGTCCAGATTATGTTACCAAATGGAACAATATTGTCCATATAGAATGCGTTGTACGCTACTCGATCTACTCGAAATTTGTTGAGTTTCAAAGATATACGTTTAAATGGATAACACATTGAAATGAAAAGCGTAGAAAATGTGGAGTATCTATGCATTACCTCCAATGATACCCAGAAACATATATTGGAGATGTTGCGTGGTTTGATGAGTGGATTGTATTATACATACGTAAAGACAGTTGAATCACATGCTGTCATGAACTAAAAGTTCATTGATTCAAAAGTTTACATGTTTTGGCATGACCGCTTGGGTAATCCAGGATCTACCATGATGCGTAGAATCATTGTCAACTTTAATGGACATCCATTATTAAGCA